AAAATAATAACTCAGTGTTTTTGGTTTCTTTTCCCCCCTTCCTATTTGCAGAATGTTAACCATGGCTATGTATTCCAGAAAAACTCTGTATTAGTTAGGATGAGTGAAGTTAGCTGCTATAATAGACAAACCACAACACTTTAGTGTTCAATAGAACTCACAGACTTGAAGCCCAACCAGGTGTTCCTAGCTAGCAAACAGCCTTCCACATGGTCATTCAGGTGCCCAAGTTCCTTCAGTCTTGTGGCTGCATCTTCTTCTGGATTTTCCAAGCCTTCTCCTTTCAGCCACCAAAAGGAGAAAGGTAGCAAAGGATGACACAACTACTTCTTAAGTCTTTACTCCAAAAGTGGCACACATCATTCTACTTACTTTCCATTGATCAAAACTTGGTCCGTGACCTTATCTAACTACAAGGACTGGGAGGTATAATGTAACTATGCCTAGGAGGAAAAGAAATAGTTTTTCTACTGAGAAGCTTAGGATATTATCTAATCCTTAAAATATATGTATTTATTTAGCACTCATTAAGTGCCAAGTATTAGACCAAGCCCAGAACATTCGTAATCTCATTTAATCCTCACAGCAGCCTCTGAAAGAGGTGTAACAGGTCCATGATCCCTTATGCTAAACCCTTGGAGCCAGATGTGTTTTGGAGTTCCAAATTTTCCAGATTTTAGAAAGGAACTATGGTACAAATACCATAATATTATATAGCACCCCAGAAGGTCTGAGGAAGGATTTCATATTCAAATACATTAATATGGCTGGTTTTTAATACATGAATATTCTCACTAAAAAGGGTAGAGATTATGAATAGCCTCACTCAGTTCCAGTCAGATTTTTCTACCATTTAAGTTTGTGTCAAACTTAGGAAACAATTTTGAATTTTTTTTTCTTAAAAGAAAAATAATTTTATTGATCCTTTACCCTACAAAATTTATTCAAATTATACCTATTTGAAGTGGTAACATCACAGCTAGAGAACAGGCCATTCAGTAACAAATCTATTTACAAAAATCCATAATGAAGCACCTTTTTTTGTATTACATTATATTACATATTTTCTTTTTTAAACCTAGCATATAACACAAAACTAAACTGATTAGTAGTTTACCTACTCCCAATTTCAGGAGAAATACTTTCTTTTTACAAAATCACATACCCCGTAGGAAAATAAATCCTCCAACCTGATACCTGACTTCCTCTTCAAGACATTTTCCTTCAGAGTCCTCCTCTCCTACACACAAGTTGTGATGTACACACTTACTTTCCTTTGCCTGAAAGTTAAAGCTTTAAAGACTGCAATTTTATTTACAGATCTACACTTACAACAAAAAAATGAAAACAAGAATCACACAAAAGACAAAAACAAAAACATACTCTTAAAAATTACAAACCAGCTGGAAAATATTCTGGCAATGTTTACAAATCAATTGCAATTTTTTTCTTACAAAATTGCTAGATAATAATAATATGAAACAACTGCATAACAACTTAAATAAAACCATCACTGTGCACAAATCTCTACATATAAACACACACCTAACACTGTTTGACAGCTTATGTGTTACCCTTTTGTTTATAAGGCTCACACAGTCATAATTGGCACACTTGTAATTTTTAGCCATTTCATACGTGAGCTTTAATAGCAGCAACTCAGTGGTCCCAGGAAACCTGCATGCTTAGTACTTAAAGTAACACAAATACTGTAGTACTTAACCCACTTTGTGTGCCAGATACTGTGTCAAAACAAAATGATGAATACAAACAGAATACCTTATGGGCTATCTAATTGATGTACATCAGTTAAGCCCATTCACTGGAAGAATCTGACCCAAGAAGGAACATTTATGTCTTATTGGTATTCCTCTCATTTTGCAAGAACAACAAATACACCATTACATTACCAAAAGGTTTAACAAGAAATTAAACAAAACACACAACTACCTAGGCTAAGTGAGCTCACTCTTCATAGACTTTGGAAAAAGTCAGCTTTGTGCAGCTGTTGTTGTTGTTGTTTGCCATCGAGTCGGCCCCGACTCATAGCGACCCCTCCTTGGGTTTCCGAGGCAGTATCACTATGGAAGTAGGATTGCCCAACCTTCCTTCCAAGGAGTGGCTGGTGGGTTTGAACCGCCAGTCTTCTGGTGAGCAGTCAAGTACCTTAGGCACTATGCTACCAGAGCTGTGCAGCTGGCAAAGAGAATTACACAAGGCTGGACTGCCAGCCTTTGCTAGCAATCAAATGCCTTAGGCACTATGCCACCAGAGCTCCCATTTTTGGTTTTTTTTTTTTTTTTTTTTTTTTTGATTGGAAGCAGAGACAGCTAACCAGATGAGATAAATATGGAAAATGGGGAAAAGCTTGGCATAAATGGTTTTCCCATAAAGGAAAAAAAAACTCACAGTGCATATCCAGTAGGCACTTAACACAAAGCTTCCCCTCCCTCCTCCACCCCAGTGCTTCATCTCAGACCAAGTCTAGTGTGTGTGAGGGGAGGAGGGTGGAGATGGAGGCTGAAGAAAAAAGGAAGATGTTCTTCACCTTTATTTTTCCTCCCAAACATGCACGCATGCTGGTGTCACTTGTGTTGACCCCACCACCACTTTGCATGTTGTGAAAATCTTCTAAGAGTAAACTGGTCAGGGCATTATCTCTCTCTCTCTCTCTCTCTCTCTCTCTCTCTCTCTCTCTCTCTCTCTCTCTCTCAGGTGCCAGCAAGTCCAAGGATGGAGGGACCCATCCCTGTTGCTCCTTGAGACTGCAAACCTTTCAAAGGGGCCACCATGGTGGTGAGCCAGGCCTGACTCACTCCGAGCTACCCCTCCAGCGAAGGGAAGCTTGATGGGACATTCTTCTTGCAAAGGCTCTTAAAACTTAGATCACAAGGGTTCAGATATGCTGATCAACAGAAGTTCTCTCTCTCAGCTTAACCAATTAGAATTAGCCAAGAACTGCTTCCAAGTAAACAATTAAATTGAAATGGTGATAAGTGCCTCAGGAATGCTTAAATGGCAGCTAACACAAATAAAAAAGTTTAAAACAGCCCAGGAAGAACTCCTAAGTAGACCTTGGCTACAAGTAAACTTTAAACTTACAAAGATCTTGGGGATAAAGGAGTGGAAGTGGTTTATGGAGACAGAAAAATCCACAACAGCTGGGAGTGGCAGGACTCTATAATTCTTAGGTATTTGTAACAAATATTTGAAAACAGGTTCTTATTATGGAAGGCTGTGGAGATGCTCTTGACCTCCTGGTGTGACAGACAGTACATATCTCAAACAGTCATGACAGTAATTTAAATATTCCTAGGAGCTCTAGTGGTGTAGTGCCTAAGGCATTTGACTGCCAACCAGAAGGCCAATCCTGGGAAGGAAGGTTGGGCAATCTACTTTCATAGAGATACCACCTCAGAAACCCAAGGAGGGGTCATTTTGAGTCAAATCGACTTGATGGCAATGAGTTTTAAGAAGAGCTGAAGAAATCCATTTCATGCTTTTGCGTGACTTCAAGTTTACATTTCCTGCAGTTCATTCCATATTAGTAGACCCCAAAGTCATGCATTCTGTGGAGAAGGCATGGCTTAAAATGTTATTAAGGAAGATTGCTGTTTTCAAACAGGCCAAAAAATTTTGAATTTTTATAGCATTTTGAATTTTAGAATTGCAGATTAGGGATTGTGGACCTGTATATCTGTACTGCAGGAAATTGAGAATTAGAAAAGTTAATTCATTTGCCAACAGTATCATCCACCCACTGCCATCGAGGCAGTCCCGACTCATAGCAACCCAATTGGACAGAGTAGAACTGCTCACTGGGTATCGTAGTATCATAGTTTATATTTAACCCAGGAATGTCTAGCTCACAAGCCAGAAAGTTCTTAACTATTACTCTACCTTACTCATTACTTATTCTAAAAGTATATTTTCTATGCCTACAGATGATACTAATGGTGATGGTACTAACAGGGAGATAGGACAAGAACAAGTGGGAATAGAAAAGAAGAAAGTGCTTTTCTTTCTTTAGAATGGACACTTGGATAGTCACCTTTTCCCCATGGAACTGATTACAAACATGATGTATTTTTCCCCTCTGCAAGTCTAGCTACCACAAGACCCAACAGAAATGACACATCTACCAGTTCTCTCTCCCAGGGTATCTCTTTTATATCTTTACCTCCAGTCACCCTCAGAATACGTGTATATGTGCTTGAGCACTCATACCTTCGGTGACTTTCAAGGCAGCAGGAAAAAGTCATTTTTTTTTATCTGTCTGTGTTCCTGTATAATGCTCAATAATTTATTTGAGTAGATTGTTTTTAATTGATTGATAGGAAGTTACTTTGGCTGTATGCGGATAACCCCAAATTTCCCTGGGTGGGGAAGGCGGCTCCCCACGCTTGCTGGAAAAGGTCCTTAACGGGTTTAAACACTTTTGCCTTCACTGTAACAACAGAGATAATTAGTAGAAAAAGTGGAACAACAAGACCCCTTCTTCAAATAAAATAGCTTCTTTTAATAAAATAGTGAAATATACCTTCTGTAGATATTTGCTGTGATGAGTATTTTGGGAACAAGAAATCCCTGCCAATCAAATACATGTGAATACCTGAAATACAGGTTTTGTTTTTGCTTTTCTGCCCCCAACTCCCTGGATTTTTTTAAATAAATGTTCTATCAATTAGAAAGATCTAGGTAACCCAGTTTTTCATATTCTCACGACTCGGGAGCTTTCTCATTCTAAATCTGTTCTGCCTCAACTTGAAAACCAGCTTCATTCCAAATGAAGTGTCTAATTTTTCACTATGTTTGATACAGCTCCTAAAATGGTCTTTGTTAAATGATGTTTAGGTATGCAGAAACTCTGATATTCAAGGATGCTTACACAAACAACTGTCTTTTTTTTTTTTTGGAATGGCTTCATTATTTGGTGACATACTTAACAGCATCATTTTACTTTTATTGAAAATGTCTTTGTCTTTCTCTTTTTGTTCCAGCAACAGTTTTCCTGGAGTTTTGGAAAAGACGGAGAGCAGTCATTGCTTATGACTGGGATTTAATAGACTGGGAGGAAGAGGAGGTCTGTATGATTTCCCTCAGAGTTTTTTAAAAAGTGAATCACAGAGAAACGCATGCTCCTTTTGACTCAGCACCCTCTGCTTTAAGATATAAGTCAAGTTTACTCATAAACTGTTCTCAATACCTATCTTTGAAGGCCATTTCAGGCCTTCAAATGAAATGGATGGGCAGAATTTTTTTTATTTCTTGGTGGAAAAAAATCCCATGACTAAGTTAAGCGTTTCAATTGTAGATAGAGGCATCAGAAGAATTGGTAGTACAGTTTGTTTAGTATTCTTTATTAACCACTTTCTTAAGCAGAGAGAGTATTAGTTTTATGACTCAGCATGTGGAAACAAACCTCCTAAGAGAGTCACTCCAAGGAAACGTTTCTGTGAGTATCTGGTACCCACAACAGTACCTAGATTGTACAGGCTCAGAAGTATTGCATCAAGTGATGAATGATGAGGAGAAGCCACTCCTCAAGCCCTCTTTGGTGGTTATAGCTAAAAATAGAGGCAGCTCCAGGGAGAACTGTCGGGAGGGGGCAAATTTGGTCTCTTAGACTTCCCATTCCCTGGCCTATCTCCCTGTCTTTACACACCTTTAGGCCAATACCTTGTGCTGTCTCCTAACTTCATGTTTGGTTTCAATACTCTCTTCTTGTCCCATTCTTCTCAGAAGTTTGAAGAACTATGTATGTTTGGTCACTGTCTCAGGGTTCTCTAGAGAAATAAAACCAGAATATATATGTATAGGTATATATTAGAGATTGATTAATTGGCTGATTTCAAGGAATTGTTTTTATTGCTAGGTGTCAAGTCAGTTATAACTCATGGTGACTCTATGTACAACACAACGAAACACTACCCTGTCCTGCGCCATTCCACATTTGTTGCTACGTTGGAACCTGTTGTTGCAGCTACTGTGCCACTCCATCTTGTTGAGGGTCTCCCTGTTTTTTGCTGACCCTCTGCTTTACCAAGCGTGAGGTCCTTCTTCAGGCACTGGTCCCTCCTGATAACATGACCACAGGATGTGAGATGAAGTCTCATCATCCTTGCTTCTAAAAAGCATTCTGGCTGTACTTATTCCAAGACAAATTTGTTCATTGTTCTGATAGTCCATGGTGTATTTAATATTTTTCACCAGTAACACAATTCAAAGGCATCAGTTCTTCTTCAGTCTTCCCTGTTCATTGTCCTGCTTTTCATATGCATATAAGGTGATTGAAAATACTATGGCTTGGACTGGCTGTACCTTAGTTCTCCAAGTGACAGCTTTACCTTTTAATACTTTAAACAGGTATTTTGCTGCAGATTGTTCCAAAGCAATATGTCACTTGATTTCTTGGCTGCTGCTTCTAAGGGCATTGATTGTAGATCCAAGTAAAATGAAATCCTTGACAATTCAATCTTTTCTCCATATATCCTGATGTTGCTTATTTATCCAGTTGTGAGGATTTTTCAAGGAATTGCCTCAAGCACTCATGGGAGACTGCCAACTCCAAAATCTGAAGGTCAGGTGACAGGCTGGAAACTCCTGCAGGCTTGTGTCCCAAGCTCTGCAGGTCGTGTTAAGGGAAGAGGAAGGAGAGAATGCTGCCAAACTGTCTATTTATAGTCTCGAGGCAGAACACACCCTAGGGAAACTCCCTTTTTGCTCTTAAAGCCTTCTATTGATCAATTTTATTCCATTGCATTAGATAATATTATGAAAGGTAATCTACTTTACTTAAGGCCAACTGATGTCATCACAGATAACTACTCCGTAACAGCAACTGGACTAGTGTTTGGCCAAACAACTGGGAATCATAACCTAGCCAAGCTGATACATAAAATTAGCCATCCCATACACCAGTGGTTATTTAAGCCATTGAGACCCTTTATAAGATATTTAGAAAGATCTAAGCCATGAGCTCATGTTGTTCCATCCCAGAGTAACGTTGCTATTAAAAGAAGCAGACAGCAGTAATAAAAAACAAAACAGTTCCCCTTCGACCCCTGCTTCCCTTGACAGCTGATCCATATTCTCATTCATTATCTCTTACTTCCCCTGAGTTCCATTTCTTAGAGCTTTACTGTGCCAATAGATCAGCTACTTTTGAGCTGTTTTGGGGGTTGTTGTTGTTGTTGTTGTTGTTTGCCATCGAGTAGATCCTTCAAATCATAATTCATGATAGCTCCCTTTTCTCCTTACGTTCATGAACACATCTGAGTAGTTTTTAGATCTGAAAATGGTACTGAGATTTTAAGCAATCCTTGTTCTCCTGGTAAGTGTTTCTCTTACACTTTTAAAAACATTCTCCAGAAAATGATTTTCTGGGTTTGAAGAAGCCGCCCAGACAGTTTATGGAGTATATTAGCGCAGCCAGGCTTTCTTCCTCCTGGGGCTGCCATTCTGAAGTTTCTTATTATGTGTGTTCGTGGGAGTGATGTCCTGGTGGAATGGAAAATGTTCATTCCTGGGAATCAGAATCAGTACTCAGTAACAGTGGTACCTTAAACAAATTACTTCACCTTTGGACTGTTTTCATCTCTAAAAAGAGGTGTGACTAAATTTTCCCTTTTCATCTCTACAGAGTAACCTTATTTAAGGAACTTTGGCACTTGCTTTGGGTCCCTGACTATGTACCCTGAGGTTAAACATATCCCTTATATATCCAGGGAAACTCTGGTGGTATAGTAGATAAGGCATTTGGCTGCTAACTAAGTCAGCAGTTCAAATCCACCAGCTGCTCTGTGGGAGGAAGTTAAGGCAATCTACTTCCATAAAGATTTACAGCCTTAGAAACCCACTGGGGGTCACTACGAGTCAGAATTGACTCGATGGCAGTGGGTATATATCTGGAGCCTTCTATCTTCCTGGCCCCTGTTTAAAATCTTGGAGTGCTGAACCATTCTTTCCCTCAACATACCTCAATACAGAAGCCTATCTCAGTAACATGTGTGGTGCCAGTCTCAGTTTGAGATTCATTGTGAAAATGCTCTTACTTCTAGTCCTTGGCTTTCAGTTTGCTATGCAGAAAAGCCTAGACTCATTGCATGCCTTCTTTAGGGGTAACCCAGCAATGCAGCCTTCATTCTATATTTGACCTCAATTCCTGGATGTCTATCTCAACAACTCTTGATGATGCTTAAAACCAAAACCAAACCTATTGCTGTCAAGTCAATTCTGACTCACCGCAACCCTATAGGACAGAGTAGAACCGCCCCTTAGAGTTTCTAAGACTGTAATCTTCACAGAAGCAGACTGCCTCATCTTTCTTCCATGGAGCAGCTGATGAGTTTGAACCACCAACCTTTCAGTTAGCAGCCAAGCACTTAACCACCACCAGAGCTCCCTTTTGATGACACTTATATAGCCTGATAATTTGAGTTTTCCCAAAATATAGAAGATTCTAGGTTTGTTCTGTTATATCTGTGCAACTGCCTAAAAATAAATGAAAGAAGGCAGAACCTGGTTATAACTGTATCACCCATTGTCCTTTGCCATTACCTGCTATGAAATTAAGTCCAGCATTGAGCTTATCCTCTCACATGGGCAGGCTGAACTGACATGAAGACTGTCCTTCAAACTAACAGGCAAGCTGCTACCAACAGTGCCCCATTCTTCATTTCTGCCTGGATTAACTCAATCTTCTGTACCAGCGTTTCTGCTCATTTTCCCTCCACTTCAACACACTCAAATAGAACATGTACTTGATTAACCAGAACCACTTTAGCATACTGTCTTGCTAATTACCTTTTCCTAATCCCATAATAACTTTTTAATCAGAAACTGTTCACATATGAATGAGGCTCAATGAAATAAAATCTCAGCTTGATTTTGAGTAGGAGGAGCCTTGATATTAGCTAGAGTGGAAAGGTTTTTAGCTTGTTTTCAGAGTCAATTAAGAATACATTTAAAATATATTGACTAAAGGTGCATGACTCCCATAGGCTCTTATTTAAAAACATCACTTCACCATGTTTTTAGCTGCCTCAATCTAAAAATGTAGGGGAAAAAATTATAGAAGAAAACTAAGAGTTACATTGTCATAATAACTCACAGAAAGAATTGTTGAATGATTCCGAGTCAGGACAGCCCTATGTGTTGTTGCAGAGTAGAACCGTCACTTTGTAGGATTTTAAGTGCAGATCACCAGGCCTTCCTTCCAAGGTGGGTTTGAACCACCAACTTCTCCAAGTGCTTAACTGTTTGTACCACTTAGCGACTCCTGGGAGCAATATCTAGGGTCCTTTTTAAGCTAATATTCTTAGTTTCTATAAGCATAGTTTAATAAGATAACAGAAGAACTTAACTGTTACTCTAAACTACATTGGCTTTTGATGATAATAAGTCTAGATTTCCATCCTTTAGATGTTCTTCAAGTGGGCAATTTCCAAACATTTAAACTTGGTTCTCACACCCACCTCATGGTTGACTGTATGGTAGTTGTTTTATGGTAGAGTATTAGGAGATGTTTTCCTTACTGTGTGAGCACCTATTCAATGCATAAAAATGTGTTTGTTCTCTAGGAAGAAATACGGCCCCAGTTTGAAGCCAAATATTCCAAGAAGGAACGGATGAACCCTATTTCAGGAAAGCCAGAACCTTATCAAGCATTTGCAGATAAATGCAGCAGACTCATCGTTTCTGCATCTGGAATATTTTTTATGGTTTGAAACTATTTTTTTTTAAATATTTGTGTCATAAAGTACCAAACTATAGCATGACAACAGCAATAGTACTATTAGACATGTGTGTAGTTCTATAAAACATTTTTGCACATTATGTTATTTCAGCCTCATGGCAACTCCATGAGGTGGTCAGAGGTGGTTTGGTGTCCTCACACTACAGCTGCAGCAGCTGAGACTCCAGAGGTGTGGGGTTTGCCCAGGGTCAGCCAGGAAGTGGCCAAGGTGGAACTTGAGCTCACACTGACTGGTAATCCACTGTTCTTCCCACTTGCCTCTTATATCCTTACTGAAAGGAACTAAAAATATGGCAGGGCTTACAACAGCACTTTTCAAATCATGTTTTACCATGTCCTTGTAGCACGAAGTATATTTTCCATCTTAACCCAATATTTGCTATGCAAATACATGTATCAAACTGAATATAATAACTAAAACAATACTCACCTTTAAAATAGCCATACATTCTGATCTTTTCTGTTCTATTACTGTTTTTTTTAAATGCTGGTTGTAGCCCACTAAAATTGATCTCCTGCTCTCAGTTTGAAAAACACTAATTTAAAACTAGTTTATTAGCTTTTCCTAAAAAGAACTAATTTTATGATCAGCTTTGATACAGAGCAAAATGATATTTCTGACAATTTGTCAAATGAAATATCATTTTACAACAATAAGGGGTGGTTAGGATACTTCCTCCTACCTCTCAAATAGCAAATGTATAAATCTACATCCTGGACCATTAGAGCTGGAAGATAGGACCCCAGCAAGTTTACACCATCTATCTAGTTTTGCCAAAAAAGAACTGAAAGGTTAGGTAGCTTTCCCAGAGTCCCTCAGCTCAGATCAAGGTTTTAGAGCATAATAATGTCACCCTTAGTAAAACAGAAATAGAACTGCCCGATACGGTTTCCAAGGTTGTAATCTTTACAGAAGTGAACTGCCACATCTTTTTCCCACAGGGCAACTGATGGCTTTGAGCCACTGGCCTTTCAGTTAGCAGCCAAGGACTTAACCATTGTGCCACCAGGGCTTTTTTCACCTTTAGTCCATAGAAACCTGCTGCCATCATGTTGATTTTGATTCAGTAATCCTTTCAGACAGAGTAGAACTGCCCTATAGGGTTTCCAAGGCTGGAAATCTTTACAGAAGCAGACTGCCTCATCTTTTATCTTTCTCCCACAGAAGGGCTGGTGGGTTCAAACTGCCAGCCTTTTGGTTAGCAGCTGAATGCTTTAACCACTATGGCACCAGAGCTCCTTTTCTTTCTTAGGTGTTGTTGTTGTTGTTATGTGCCATCGAGTCAGACCCGACTCATAGCGACCCTTCCTTGGGTTTCCGAGGCAGTATCACTACGGAAGTAGATTGCCCAACCTTCCTTCCGAGGAGTGGCTGGTGGGTTTGAACCACCAGCCTTCTGGTTAGCAGTCAAGTGCCTTAGCCACTATGCTACCAGAAATAGGCAGAAAATAGAGTTTTCCAGAGAGAGGAGTGCTGCTGTGAAGAAAGGATTCTCTAAAGCAAAAGAGATCAGCCTGAGTCCCGACCTTAAGATCCAGGTCTTGACAACTAAGGGAGTTAACTTTTCTATTTGAAGATGTGCTAGATGAGTCACCTAATGTTGTTGTTGTTGTTAGGTGTCAATGTTGTTAGGTGTCGTTGAGCCATCTCCAGCTCATGGCAAGCCTATACACAGCAGAGCAAACACTGCCCTGCCCAGTGCAGTGCCAGCCGAGTCACCTAATGAAAGTCACACAATGTTTTGGAGCCTCTGGTTCTCATTTCACAGGGATAGGAGACATGCCATATTATTTTCAAATGCCATAAATCTTCAAGAAAGATGACTCAGTCTGTGTATATATCTGACTAAGAAGATCTTAGGTACCTGTCACACAGTTGGTTCATTCAACAGCAAGTAACTGAACACCTACTATGTGCCCATAATTATGCTAAGGTGTTGCAAAAAATGTGGTAGGCAAAAAAGATGCCATTCCTGCCCTCATGGAGCTTACTGTCTAGTGGGGCAGATTAACAATAATCAAACAAACTGTTATAAACAGTGAATTAAAGGAGAACCATAAGTATCATAAAAAGGAAAAATAGCCCAAGGTCATGAAAAGCCTTAAGTTTGAAGTGGCTTTTAACCTCAGAAGTGAAGGATAGGTTGGCATTAACTAGTGTGTGTGTTAATGTGTGTGCACAGATGTGTGCATACACATGCGCAATTGGCAAAGGAATGGGTGGATGGACATTTTAAGCAAAGGAAACAGCCTTGAAGATTAAGAGCCCCTAGCCCTTTTGAAGGAGCTCTGGTAGCATAGTGGCTAAAGCACTTGACTGCTAACCAGAAGGCTGGCGGTTCAAACCCACCAGCCACTCCTCGGAAGGAAGGTTGGGCAATCCTACTTCCGTAGTGATACTGCCTCGGAAACCCAAGGAGGGGTCGCTATGAGTCGGGGCCGACTCGACGGCACACAACAACAACAACAAGCCCTTTTGAAGCTATGAGAGAAGGCCAGCACACCTTGAGTTCCTGGGGGAGGGGAGAATGCCTTGAAGGACACATTATGGGCTTTACTTTTATCCTAAGAGTAACAAATAGCATAATGCCTAAGGCCCTTGACTGCTAACCAGAAGGCTGGCGGTTCAAACCCACCAGCCACTCCTCGGAAGGAAGATGGGGCCTCGGAAACCCAAGGAGGGGTCACTGTGAGTCGGGTCCGACACGACGGCACATAACAACAACAACAAGCCAATTAATAGTTTGGAACACAGGAGTGAAATGATCAGATTTCCAGAATAAATTTTTCTTCATCCAATCCAATATCCTGCTTAATAAAGTGTTACACCATCATCTACACTGATTATCAACTTTTAACCAGTACAGTTGTCCTATTTGAATAACAAAGAAACTACAAACGGGCAAGAACAAGTATTAACCACAATGAAAAGTGTGCAGCTTGTGGTTTCTTAAGTCGGGACTACCACGGCTTTACTTCCTTTTCTAACCAGAGAGTTTCCCAGGTAGCTGAGCCCTCCTCCAGAAAACGTTCCGCCAGGTTGCTCATGGGCCTCCTCTATCTTTCTGCCAGATCTGCGTGGTGATCGCTGCCGTGTTTGGGATTGTCATCTACCGGGTGGTGACTGTCAGCACTTTCGCGGCCTTTAAGTGGGCGTTAATCAGGAATAACTCTCAGGTGGCAACCACAGGAACTGCCGTGTGCATCAACTTTTGTATCATTATGTTGCTGAATGTGGTAAGTGAGCTGCAATGTAACTAGCAAATGGATAAAAATATATGGACTGCAGGTGGTAGTTTTCTTGTGACTAAAGCAACCTGGCCTCAGAGAGGTGCTCTGCCATGTCACACAGATAGATGCCTTGCAAAGTACCTGGCATGAAGATGCACCCAGGTTCAGGAATTTAGAAGTCTTCTTTCAAATCTAGGTTCCAGGATTTTCTGCAGTGAGAGATTGGGCAAAGCACTCAATTAACAACTCTGCCTATTTGTAACAATCCCTCATTTATATAAGATAATGCTATATACCCTTTGGAGTCCCTGGGTAGCGCAAGCAGTTAACATACTTGGCTGTTAACCAAAAGGTTGGTGGTTTGAGTCCACCCAGAGACAACTCAGAAGAAAGGCCTGATATTCTACTTCTGAGAAATCAGCCATTGAAAACCCTATAGGGTACAATTCTACTGTGGCACACACAAATCACTATAAGTCTGAATCAACTCAATAGCAGCTGGTTTTGGTATACTCCTTGGGTTTTTTGGAGATTTAGAAGAAGGATGTATTCAAAGGCCCCAGCTCAGGACATGTCACACAACTCAATAGTCTTGGCTTTGATTCTGTATGATGGGACGGTAGTCAGTATTATACAGAATGATTGATTTCCAGATTTTTTTTAAATGTATGTTTTAGCCCAGATCTCTTCCTTGAGCCCCAGATTCATGTATCAAACCTCCTATTCAACTGTCTTCACCTAACACGTTCAAACCCAAACTCTTGATCCCTTCTCTGAAATCGGCTCTCCTTATTGTTTTCTCCATTGTAGTTGCTCAGACTAAACATCTTGACAAGATTGCCCTGAACTGTACCCTCTGTACTTCCATACACACACATATACACATGCACACATGCACACACGCCATTACTCACATTGCCTAGGTTCCCTACTAGGACCCTCTGTTTACCAGATGGATGGGTGAATTAGGGATGAACCCAGTGTACTAATGAAAACGCAGAGTACCCTTTGGGCCTAGAATTGGAATCACTCCCCTGGATTGACTCTCAGCCCGACACTAGAAAGACCTACATGCAGAACACCTACACTAGGGAGATATACCCCTTAGAGCAATCAGCCGTGAGGCACCAGAAGGGCAGCATTCACAAAGAGGAAAAGCTGGGCAGATAGGAATGCATAGTGAAGAAAGGCACAGGGAGGGCATAGTCACAGGGACGGGGAAGGGGAGGAGAGTTTGTTATGGTCAGGGATGATAATCGGGGCTTGAAATTAAATGTACACAAATTGCTGAATGTAAAACAAATTTTGTTCTATAAATTTGCACCCAAAGCACCATAAATTAAAAAAGAAAGAAAGAAATGAGGGGTCTCTAACTAAACCCAAGTCCCACTGACTTAAAAAAAAAAAAAAAAAAAAATGAAAAAACCCGTGGGTCATGTCCCCAAAGTCTAGGGCTTAGGTATATCTGGGTCCAGTGGTTCCAGTGATTCAAAGGTCCTCATCAGGACCTGAAGCTGCTCATCCCTTGGCATGGTTTTCTCCATGTTGGGTCCAACTCAAGCTCCACCAAAGGGGGCTGCCAGCAGCTCCAGACTTATATCATCTTTCCTGTTGGCAGTGTCAGTAGAAAGTAAACTTTCATTTTCCATTGCTAGAAAAATCTCAGAATTGAGTGTCATGTTGGTTGGATCATGTGTTCATTTCTGGGGCAAGAGGAAGGTTTTGGTTCCCCAAGCCACATGCTGGCAGTGGAGAGGAGTGATTTCAACAGAGGCCCAATTACCAGAACAAGAGAGCTTGGGTGATGGCCAGGATGGAAGCAATCAGTTATGTACTAGAAATAGCAGATGTCCACTATGTGGCCGCTGTGCTAGAGGAAGTTACAGTCTATTTGTGGACATACACATAATTAAGTAGAGTGGCAGTTCAGGGTAAATAAAAAAAAAAAAAGCAGAGTGCCATAAGCTCTGGGAGTTTCCAGTAAAGTTCAATCATCTCATCATTTATAAATGCTATAATCTAGAATATACAGTAGTTCTCATGAACAATAGGATTGCAGAATCATAGTTAGAACAGGCCTTAGAGATTTTACATGGAAGCTGCTATGATCCAGGAAGACTCTGACTTGCCCAGCATCACTTTGCATTGCATGCTGGTAACTAGTGGCAGCCAGCCTTGTGCCACAGAATGATTCACCCCAAAGTAATAAGTGATTTAAAAATCAGTGAAATGGGAACTTGTACATTTCTTTCTTGCCCTGAAAGGACACAGTTGTTCAAAAGGTTTTCATTGTTTGATCATGACTTGATTATCTCTTTCCTTTATAATTATGCATTTTAGAACATCTACAATTCTATTACTAAATGTATGAAATTTATTTTATAGCTCTATGAAAAAGTTGCACTTCTTCTGACAAATTTAGGTAAGTGGAACCTTTTCACTTTGCTGTACAGTATTTTGGTCTGGAAAATATCTTTTCAAAGATGCTATGAAGAGTTCATTTCTGAAAAACTACTGAGAAGAAATATTCCCTGTATGTTGAAATGTGTGCCTGCATTGCTCTTTGCCTTCAAAGAACATGCTTTAAATAGCTAGTAACTGGAGGGATTTTTTTCCTATCTAAAGCTTTAAAACCTGCCATAAACATCATCTCTATCATAAGCTAATGTGATTTAAAATAGATTTCCTCTTAATGCACAAAAAAATCACAGAACTGCATGTATATAAAGTGCCTAGTATCATTTATAAAATTGTCCATTTGCTATTGCCTAGCAGTAGTAGTTAATTAAAGCTGTGTCCAGTTTTCATGATATATAAAACTATATTAAAGTTAGTTTTGAGGACTGGTCCCAAGAATGTAGGCAGGCAAGCCATCAGTGACATTTGTAGAAATAACATTCATTTGAACAAGTCACTCCTGAGAGCATTTTGCTGACCCCAGTAAGCACCAGAACAATCTGATAGCTGGCTCTAAGTTGTACATTTACCACATTGTCAAAATACAAAAATTGTTCCAATTTTATTAATAAGGTAATAGTCATTTGGCATAGTGCCTAAGGCATTTTGACTGCTAACCAGAAAGCTGGTGGTTCAAACCCACCAGCCACTCCTCAGAAGGAAGGCTGAGCAATCTACTTCCATAGTGATACCACCTCGGAAACCCAACGAGGGGTCGCTATGAGTCGGATCCGACTCGACGGCAGTAAGTTTTTTTGTTTAGTCATTTGGAGTCCCTGGATAGTGCAAATAGTTGATGCTCTTGGCTGCCAATGGAAAGGTTGGAGATCCAAGTCCCCCCAGAGGGTCTTTGTAAGAAAGTCCTGGTGATCTGCTTTCAGAAAATAAGCCATTGGAAACTCTGTGGAGCACAGCTCGACTCGGACACACATCAGGTCACCATGAGGTCGGAATTGGCTCGACAGCAGTTGATTTTTTGTTTTAGTCACTCTTTGCAGTGTGAGAAAATTACAGGTTCCCACACATAACCTGTTTTAGCTCATTCCCAAATATAGCTTTCCCAGAATTAAAATATCACAAAGTGTTTTTATTTATAATAATCTAATAATAAATACCATTTATTGAGTCCTTCTGTGTCCCAGGCACTTTACTTATCTCCTTTAAAGTCATTGAAATATTCCATCACCATCACCCCATGCCCAGAAAGACAGAAAGAGGTTTATGTCCCTGGAAGAAGAAACTTCCCTTTGGCAGGCTGTGTCCAGTGGGGCTTTGGTCCAGGCTGTCAAAGATGCTGGTGAAAATACTTCCCTGGTTCATCCATGGTTGGGATACTGGTAAGCCAGATGTTTCTCCTGAGAGCTGACTGACAACCCAGGAGACCTTCCCTTAGAAGCAGGAGTTCAGAAGCAGAAGTGAAATAAAGCTAAACCTCTTTAAGAGTCCTTTGTCCTTTCTGCCTTCTGCAGCACTACAGCCTTGTTCTGAAATTAACGTATAACCCATTCTAAAGCAGATTGTCTGTCTTTCCCTTCTCAGGTGTGCTCCCAGGGAGCATTTTGAGTTATAATTCTTGGAAATAAAACTGATGGGGTGAAGTTTTAAATGAGCAGTTAGAAGCTCAGGAAATGTGAAAACATAAAATGCTATTGCACGAAATACTTTTTCTTTGGCATTGCTTGAGGTGAGGATGCAGCTTCTAGGGAAGGATAAGAGCATTTGACGTGAGATTTCCAGTTGGAGGTTCTATCTTGAGGGCCATCTTTTGGTTCATATCCCAATTGCTAAAGAATGTTTGCTTTATGAGATATTGAAACGTAGGGGATGAGAATTGGCCCCTGACTGAAGTCAGGAAATGTTAAGACACACCTAGTTCATAGAGAGTAAAACCTCAAGAGATGAGGTCACCTCTTGAGTATTGGACCATGAAAATGGAAAACGGTGGATGAAGGTAAAAGGCAAAGGAGTCAAATGCACCTCACGTTCTGATGTGGGTGTTTGACTCCCTCATACCAAATAGCATCTGGCATTGCACCAGAAATAGATGTTGATACTGAGCAATTACAGGAGCTGAGCATAAACCTGACTCCACAAGGCCCTACCCCAATGCAAAGATTAGTAGCAAAAGGAAAGGCTACTGCAGGGAGCCAGAACTGGGAATGGGGCCCCTTGTATCTGCTCCAGGCCTCCAGGCATCCTGTAACAGTATTACAATCTGGGTATTCAATCCCCTCGCTGGCCACTTCCCACCAAACTCTTCTTGAGGATGGTCTGCGAGCTTGAGGATCCCATGGGACCCTCTTCCATCACCCAGCATCTGCAGGCCTTCTTAGGATGCCTCTGCTCCCACTGAGGGGAGAGAGGGTCTGAGATGGGATCAGATTCAGCCTCTGTTCCCTTTCATCCACAGAACAGCCTCGCACAGAGTCCGAGTGGGAGAACAGCTTCACCCTGAAAATGTTTCTTTTTCAGTTTGTCAATCTGAACAGCTCCACGTTTTACATCGCATTCTTCCTTGGAAGGTAAGACCCCAATCCCTCTACATCTCCTCAGACCAGGGCAGAGTGCTCTGAAATCACCAGCCATGGGTGACAGAGAGTTTCCTCCTCTGGGGTGCAAAGAGAAAACTAACTGCTACCTTTCCTTTCTCTATTTCAAAACCACCTCCCCTTCCATCCCGGGGAGTTAGTCTTCTGCACTGAAAAGCACTTCTTCAGCTTTTATTGCTACAACAAATAGAGGAAAATAATCTGCACATGTGAATTATGAGTCTAAAATATCCGGGCTCTGTCTGCACCTGAGTCGCACACCTGGCTCTCACACTTGCATGAGCAGGTAATATAAAGGGGAAGGCGGCCTGTAGCATGTCCCAGTCCCCCATCTTCAGACAAGAAGGAGGAGCATCCAAACAAGAAAAGGGGCTAAAAGAGCATGTCAGAGGACCCTGGGAAGCTTCAACATTCAACACTAATGAGGACTTAGGAGGGACTTCTGTTGTTGTTGTTAGGTGTTGTTGAGTCATCTCCAACTCATAGTGACCGCATGTATATAGCAGAATGAAATACTGCCTGGTCCTGTGCCAGCCCCACGATCCTTGCTATACCTGAGCTCATTGTTGCAGCCACTGTGTCAATCCATGTCATTGAGGGCCTTCCCCTTTTTCGTTGTCCCTCCACTTTGCCAAGCATGATATCCTTCTCCAGGGAATGGTCCCTTCTGATAACATGATCAAAGTAGGTGAGACAAAGTCTGGCTATTCTCTCTTCCAAGAAGAATTCACCTGCACTTCTCAGGATGGATTTGTTAGTTCTTTTAGCAGTCCATGGTACTTTCAGCATTCTTAGCCAACACCACAACTCAAAAGCATCAATTCTTCTTCAGTCTTCCTTTTTCATTGTCCAGCTCTCACATGCCTATGAGGCAATTGAAAATACCATGGCTTGTGTCAAGCGCACCTTAGTCTTCAAGGAAACATCTTTGCTCTTCATCACTTGAAAGAGGTCCTCTGCAGCAGATTTGCCCAATGCTATACAATGTCTGACTGCTACTTCCATTGGTGTTGATTGTAGAACCAAGTAATATGAAGTCTCTTACAACTTCAATCTTTTCTCCATTTATCATGATGCTGCTTATTGGTCCTGTTATGAGGATTGTTTCCTTTATATTTAGGTGTAATCCATACTTTATATTTTAGGTGTAATCCATACTGCAGACTGCAGTCTTCAGTCTTCATCAGTAAGGGTTTCAAGTCATCCTCACTATCAGCGAGCAAAGTTGTATCATCTGCATGATGTAGGTTGTTAATGAGTCTTTCTCCAATCCCAATGCTGTGTTCTTCTTCATATAGTCCAGCTTCTCGGATTATTTGCTCAGCATACAGATTGAATAAGTATGGTAAAAGGAAACAACCCTAATGCACTCCTTTCTTGACTTTAAACCATGCAGTGTCCCCTTGTTCTGTTTGAATGACAGCCTTCTGGTCTATGTGCAAGTTCCTATGAATACAATTAAGTGTTCTGGAATTCCCATTCTTCTCAATGTTACCCATAATTTGTTATGTTCCACACAATCGAATGCTTTTGCATAGTCAATAAAACACAAGTAAACGTCTTTCTGATATTCTTTGCTTTGAGCCAAGATCTATCTGACATCAGCAATGATATCCCTCGTTCCATGTCCTCTTCTGAATCCAGCTTGGATTTCTGGAAGTTCTCTGTCAATGTACTGCTACAACCATTCTTGAATTATCTTCAGTAAGATTTGCACTCAATATTAATGATATTGTTTGATAATTTCCACATTTTATGGGATCATCTTTCTTTGGAATGGGTACAAATATGTCTCTCCTCCAGTCAGTTGGCCAAATCTCTTGGCATAGCTAAGGGAGTGCCTGTAATGCAACATCCATTTGTTGAAACATCTCAGTGAGTATCCCATCAATTCCTAGAGCCTTGTTTTTCACCACTTCCCTCAGTGCAGCTTCAACTTCTTCCTTCAGTACCACTGGTTCTTGATCATATGCCACCTCCTGAAATGGATGAACATCAACCAATTCTTTTTGGTACAGTGACTCTGTATTCCTTCTATCTTCTTTGGACGTTTCCTGCATCATTCAATATATTGTCTATCAAATCTTTCAGTATTGCAACTTGGGGCTTAAATTTCCTCTTTAGTTCTTTCATCTTGAGAAATGCTGAGCATGTTCTTCCCTTTTGGCTTTCCAACTCCATGTCTTTGCACATTTCATTAAAATAATTGACTTTGTCTTCTTGGCTGCTCTTTGAAATCTGTTTAGCTCTTTTATCTTGTCATTTCTTCCATTTGCTTTAGCTACTCTTCACTCAAGGACAAGTTACAGAGTCTCTTTTGACATCCATTTTGGTCTTTTCTTCCTTTCCTGTCTTTTTGCTTTCTTCATGGATGATGTTCTTGACCTCATTCCACAATTCCTCTGGTTTTCGGTCATTGGTGTTCAGTGCATCAAATCTGTTCTTTAAATGGTCTCTAAATTCAGGAGGGATATAATCAAGGTCATATTTTGGCTCTCATGAACTTGTTTTAATTGTCTTCAACTTCAACTTGAACTTGCAAATGAGCAGTTGATGGTCTGTTCCACAATCAGCTCCTGGCCTTGTTTTGGCTGAAGATACTGAGTTTCTCTATCACCTCTTGCCACAGATGTAGTCAATCTGATTCCTGATGTACTCCATCTGGTGAAGTCCATGTGTATAGCTGCTGTTTGTGGTGTGAAAAAAGGTATTTGCCATGAATAATTTGTTGGTCTTGCAAAATTCTATCATATGATCTCCAGCATTATTTCTGTCTCCAAGGCCAAATTTTCCAACCACCAGTGATTTTTTACTTTGTTTCCAACTTGTGCAATTCAGTCACCAGTGATAATCAGCACATCTTGATTGCATGTTTGGTCAGTTTCAAGGGGCTCTTTGTTTAGTGGAAATGTCCCTGAATCTCGTTATCTCTGGAAGCATTTATGAGGAGATGGAAAACAGGGAAGGACAGGTACAGAGTTTTGACGAGATGAGTGCAGCGTCTTCTTAGTTACTACCTACTCTAGCATGTAATTCTAGTCAAATATAGTCATGCATCGCTTAACATACATGATACATTCTGATAAATAGGACATTATGTAATTTGAACATTGTGTAAACACCATAGTATATACAGGCAGTTCCCAAATTACCAAAGAATTCTGTTCCTATCTGTTTTTTAAGTCAAATTTGTATGTAAGTTGGAACAGTTAGTTAAGGTTCAGTTCATACCTAATGTCAGTCAAATGTTTGTCTTAGTATATAGTATATTGTGTACCTTTCTATTCATAAAAAAAAAATTAAAGGAACACTTCTAGATACATTGAAACATCTTTAACACAATAGTACAGTAATAATAATAATGTCTTGATGCACATCACAAAGAAGTGCCTGTTTGTTGCTTACTATGAACCATTGCATATAGGCTGAATTTTTAATGTAATAGGCTTTAGAGGAGTTGGGAGCACAGACATATACACAGTTGGATAGTGCCCCAATGGACTTTATGCAGCACATGACTGTGATTTAATTTGGAAAAAAAAAAAAAAGCAGTACTGTTACTCAAAAAGATCAGAATGTATTTAAGTCCAAAAGTAAATCCATGGCTTACACAGGCCAAAGCACTTGATTTTCAACAGAAAACGCTAAAAGTCACAGCAGCTGACAAGAACTGACCTCTGTGATCCAGAAGAGAAAGTGTCCCCGAGAAAGTTCCAGAAGGTGTAGTCATGACAGCTCTAAGGGTTTCCTCATTTCCTCAGACCTGAAACTTACTGTACCACTGATTTATGTTGGGTAATGTGCTAAAATGAATATAATATTCATTGCAAGTCTAGACTACAGAATGCTAATGGTTTGTTTTTCTGTGTGTGTTGAAGATTTACAGGACACCCAGGTGCCTACTTGAGGCTGATAAACAGGTGGAGGCTAGAAGAGGTCTGTATTCTCCCATCATTCCTTGTTTCCTACAGACTTGCTTTAAACCACCTTAGAGCAACTTTGTGCAGAATAGAAACCAGACACCCTTTCTTCCTCTCCATTGATTCTCGAATTTCTGTGTTTGCTTACCTCGCAGTGCCACCCTAGTGGATGCCTTATTGATCTCTGTATGCAAATGGGTATTATAATGGTGCTAAAGCAGACCTGGAATAATTTCATGGAACTTGGCTACCCGTAAGTACCATAGATATCTATAGTCGAGAGGCAGCGTTGCTCATCATTGGCTTTTCTAGGTGTGGCAAGTAAGATAAGCAATGCAGACTCAGTAATTGATCCAGTGCATACACCTGGAGATAACGCTCAAGCTTAGAGTCAAAGGAAGTCTGAAAATAATAAACCTTGGCTCTTTGGGAAGATTTAATACAAATCACAGGAATGAAAGTGAATATTCTTTAAATCTCTGTGGACCCCTAAATACTGGACTCTTGCTTGCAAAATACTTAACAAATGATGTCTCTGGCCCTTTCAGCTCTGTTGTTGTTGTTATATGCCCTCAAGTTGGACCCAACTCATGGAGGCCCCTCCTTGGGTTTCCAAGGCAGTATCACTATGGAGGTAGATTGCCCAACCTTCCTTCCAAGGAGTGGCTGGTGGGTTTGAACCCCCAGCCTTCTGGTTAGCAGTCAAGTACCTTAGGCACTACACTACCAGAGCTCCTTAGACCAAATCATGGCTCTGTTGTTGTTGTTATATGCCCTCAAGTTGGACCCAACTCATGGAGGCCCCTCCTTGGGTTTCCAAGGCAGTATCACTATGGAGGTAGATTGCCCAACCTTCCTTCCAAGGAGTGGCTGGTGGGTTTGAACCCCCAGCCTTCTGGTTAGCAGTCAAGTGCCTTAGGCACTATGCTACCAGAGCTCTAGCTATTTAGGATATATTAACTAGATCCTCAAACCCTCATCCCTGTCCATTTTAACATGGGAGTGGTTCTAGAAAGATTAATGAGGGATGGTAACTTTTTAAAGCTACCTTAAATTCAGAATGTACAGAAAATGAACTTAAGGAAAGGAGGAGAGTTCAGGGATTCAAAAAAGAAGCAGAAGTTTCTAAATCAGCATATCTTAAGCGGTGAGAAATCCCCCGGTGAGGATAGGTTATGTTAATAACGATGGGCAAACACTTGCATGCCCTTTGGAAAAAAGGATAACCTTGAATTCTGCTGTGTTTGCACAGTTCTAGTCAGTTAAATTTTAAGGAGACATTAATCAGCAATGCTTCTTTTATTTCTGCTTTAATTTCACACCTACCGGTTTTGCATGTTAGCTCACAGTCTCTTAGAGACAGAGAACTCTAGGTTTCAGAAAGGACCGTACAGTTAAATGCACTAGAACTTTGGTTCACTTCAGAAAGTCATCTCTAAGCTCCTTGTCAGAAGCAGTGCCAGTAGTTTTGTATTCTTAAATTCATTTTTAAAAACCTTATTTCAAGTGTTTGATTCTTTCTATAAAACTTTTTAAAAATAAAGCATAAAAGACATAGAAGAATCATCTGAAAGTGTAAACTATAATTTATCAGGATGTTATGGACATCAAAGGAACCATATTTTTATCTCATAGTAATAAGGGCATAGAGTAAAATTATGAAGTAGGCAGTTTATCTTTGATACTCACCCCCACATTTCCTTTATTTCACATTTGTGTGTGTGTGTGTGTGTGTGTGTTTCTCCTCTCAAATAGCACACAACTGTTTCCCTTGCCCCCTGTAGCATACAGACATTCCCCTCATTCCCTCAAACTTGTCCTATATCCTAAGATGCAACCCCAGGCACTGTGAGTACTAATGTGCTAACCTCACCAGTGCAAAATGAATCTTAATTGAAGGCAAAGCTCTTGCCGAGTTCAAACCAAAAGCAGGCAAGTATGAACTTCAGGCAACAGTGTGCCCAGAGAGGACACATTTTGTGAGTTTCCAGATCTTGTAGACCCCTAAAGTCAGAATTTGCAAGTCCACACCCACTTGGTAGGACTGCTTTTGCATCCAAAATTAAGCCACCAAGACCAAATCTTTCTTTCCCCAGATACCTATCTGGTGGTTGCCTTTGTACTGGGAGATATGTTTATAGATGTTCTCAGTCCTCTATCCCTCTCATATAGGCAAGACTGAATATGACACTGTTTCATGAATGATTAAAATAAACTCATCAACCATTCTGCTTACTGACTATACTTGAAGTATAGAATCCATTGTTAATGTATACTTGAAGTGTTATCGCCTTGGTAGCCTGTCCTGATTTTTTTTTTTAACTCTGGCTCTATGTTCTGACTCTCCTCTTTCTGATCACTTTATGTCTTATGGATAGTTACATTTAAAAAAAATTGATCTTGTTTTTGCAGGTTAATTCAGAATTGGTGGACAAGAAGAAAAGTGCGACAAGAACATGGTCCGGAAAGAAAAATAAGTTTCCCACAATGGGAAAAGGACTACAACCTTCAGCCGATGAATGCCTACGGACTCTTCGATGAATACTTAGAAATGAGTATGAAAATATTCTACTTTATCCTACTAATTGTAGATACAAATTTTAGATCTGTAGCTATAGAGCTATAGTCAATCAAACATACACTCAGTATCATAAAGACCCTTCCAAAAAAAAACCTAACTAACTCACTGCTGTCAAGTCAGACCCTCCTTGGGTTTCCAAGGCAGTATCAGCAGTATCACTGTGGAAGTAGATTGCCCAATCTTCTTTCCGAGAGATAGCTGGTGGATTTGAACCACCAGCCTTCTGGTGAATAGTTAAATGCCTTAGGCACTATGCTACCAGAGCTCCTATAAAGGCCCTTAGTGTGTGGGTATTCTTGAGCTAAACACAAAGGAAACAGTATCTTGCTTTAAGACATGCATGGGCATGGTACCAAGAGCCTAGTGACTTCAAACTCTCATGACATTTTGTCCACATCTTGTAGTAAGTCACAAAAAGCAAATGAGTTGGGAAACTTGGTGAACCAAAGGAAATGGAAGCATCACCCATGGTGTGATGGACTCAACTTGTTCAGCAGACGTTTATTGCCCCGTTTGGGCCAGGTAGTCTCTCTGTTTGGCACCAGAGATACAAAAAAGAATAACACACAGTCTCTGCTTTCAAAAAGTGCCTGGGCTAGTGGGGAAAATAAAAGATAGAAAGAATAAATGTGATAAATTGTTACAGATGCTGTGATATGAAACTGTAGGTAATATAGTAGGAACAGCCATTTTCTATTGGGGACAGAGTAGTAAGAAGCTAGAAATATGTAAGCTATTAGACACTTACATTTAAAGAATCAGATTTCTGAGTCATCAAACCCAAGCTATTTATCTTGGTGTGTATCTAAGATCACGGGCTTTGGAAGCATATTAAAACAAACAGAACAGTTGCCATTGAATTGATTCTGGTTCATGACAACCCCGAGTATCAGAGTAGAATTGTGCCCCAGAGGGTTTTCAATGGCTGATTTTTCAGAAATATCCCATGGCCCTTCTTCCAAAATGTCACTGGATGGACTTCAACCACCAACCTTTTGGTTGGCAGCCAAGCATCTTAACCATTTGTACCACCCAGAGACTTCAGAAGCAGATGACCTGGGTTCAAATCCCAGCCCTGCCACTTACTAAGTGTGAAACATTGGGCAAAAAGTTATGTAACTGGCTCTTTGTCTCAGTTTTGTCATCTCGAAAGTTAGGATAATAATATGAGTAACTACTTCATAGAGTGTTTGTATGGATTTAATGAATTAACGTATGAAAAGTGATTAGAACAGTGCCTGGCTCATAGTATGTATTTAGTGCATGTTAGCTGTATCACTATTACTTTCCTATTCTTATGGGGGGCAGGGTCCATAATATCTCTTTGGAAGCTAATAAAATCCCTGGGAAGATTCATTGAGTGTATCTATCTTTTTCTTTGTTTTTTAATTGTGTTAGGCTCTATAAAATAGGGGTAGAAGTTGGGGGTAAGGGTGGACAAGTGCATTACTTCTGAAAGAAGCAGTTCTTTCACTGAAAATTAAAGGAATAGTAGAATTAATGTGTAATATTTTTAGATTGCTTGTGTCCTAAGTATCTATTGATGTTTTTAGGGTTTTAATTATAGAATGGCAGAATGATATAACTTGGAGAAGAAATCAATTTGGGCATTAATAATAAAACTTAATAAAGGGAATTCATTAAGAAAACTAACCACTTTGAGGTCTCTTAATGGACTCTTCTCCCATAAAGAAGGAAATGAACAATAATGTTGGTATATTGAGTCCTTGAAATGAAGCTTTTATGTGGCTGAGGCTGTGACTACTTCAAACACTGTAGTGTCTTTCTAGCATAAAACAAATCTCAGAAGCATCACAAGTGGACTAGGGCATCTTTCATTTGCTTATGTGTTTATTGTTAATAACACCCCTGCTTTTCTATTTTTTTTTTTAATTTACTCATTGAAGTATAACATATGAGAGAGATAAAGGTATAGATGAATGAATTTTCACACAAATGTAATCAAAATCTTTCTCTCCATCCTGCTGTCTAGTTTTGTATATAAAGTATCGGAATGCAGCAATAATCGTTCATTTACGTACTGTCTATGGCTGCTTTGGAGTCCCTTGGATGATGTAAACGGTTAACACATTCAACTACTAACCAAAAGGTTAGAGGTTCAAGCCTACCCAGTGATTCCTTGGAAGACAGGCCTGGTGATGTACTTCTGAAATGTCAGCCACTGAAAACCTTATGGAGCATAGTTCTCCTGTGATACACATGGGGTCACCATGAATTGGAATCAACTCAACAGCAACTGGTTAATGGCTGATTTTGCACTCCAGCAGTAGAACTGAGTAATTATTACAGACTGTATGGCCCACAAAGCCTAAGTCATTTGCTATCTGGCCCTTAAGAGAAATAGTTTCACAATAAATAGACCATTATCATTATTAAAGAAGGCTCTCTCATCTCCTTTCCCAGTCATAACCTCCCTAAACCACTCTCCTGGCTTCTAATATAATCATTTCCCCAGGTTTTTTTTTTCCATGTGAATGGAGCTGTATACTCTGTACTCTGTTACAACTGGCTTTTTTTCAATCAATATTACGTTTTAATATTCTCCCATGTTAAGCGAGCAATTGGACCTGTGGGCTCAGGACCATAGTCTCAGGGGACATCAAGCTTAACAGGCATAACATACTACACAAAACATTGTTCCACATCCTACTTTGGTGAGTAGCAACTGGAATTTCAAAAGCTTTCAAGCTGCCATCTAGATGCAACAATGGGTCTCTCCTTATCCAGAGCAATGAAGAATGAAGAAAACCAAAGATTCATTAAAACAATTAG